AAACTGTGTCGCAAACGAACCGACGCGTGGCTATGTGCGCTTGCACAGCAGCGGCGATGTCTCCGATGGCGCGCTTTCGAGATCCGTCGTTGTGCAAGAAAGGCTGAATCCTGACGAGGGTTCTAGCTCCGCTGCAATCGTGTTACCGAGCTCGAACCTGGTTCAGACCAACAACCCAGTTTCGCTTTCTGACGTGCGTAGCCTGTACCAAACGCTGCTCAACGACGTTTCGATCGAGCAGCTGAATCCGCTATTCTGCAAGGCAGTCTCGATCGCGTCCGCAGCGACGCTCGGGTTCTCCTCTACGGTCTCCTACAGCAGAAACGCGCGGTCGCAACTGATTTGCAAGCCTTTTGCGCGATACTGCGCGAAGCCGCGACTCAGTTGCGAGTTGCTCGAGAAGTTTGTAATAGATGCGGTGGTCTCGCGCGAAAGCGCGAGCGACTTGTGGAGCGAGTTTTGCAAACGCACCGCTGCGCAGCGGTTCGACGAGGCTGCACACGCCGCCAATGGACGCGGAGTGAAGGCACGCAACTCGAAGGATGGTGAGCGCTTCGGCGCTGAGGAGTGCGCGAGCCTTGTCAGTCGATTCTCCAAGTGCTTCTTTGAGCTGGAGCTCAACGCCGACAACAGTTGCGAGTCTGCTGACTCGAGCTGCGACACGCTGTACGTTAGCCCGCCGATGATAATTGTGAACACCAGTCTCATCAATGTTCGCTGCAAGATTGTTTGCGCCGGCCCGACGGCTTTCGTGACCGTGCCGCCGCACGTGTACTACTGCTGCTACACGATCCCTCCGTTGCGCGCAGGACAGGCGGCCGAACTAGCTCTTTCACACCAGGTGAGCACAAACCGCTCGCGCAAGAAAACTGCACTGTACACGCCGTTTAGCGAAAAAACTGCAGTGCTTTACGGCCGGCTGCGCGAAGACTCTGAATACGTCTCCAGCCTGTCGGCGGTACCAGAAAATAGCAACCGCATCCTCAATTTGTATCGGCTGTTCGAGGAAGACAAGCTGCAGTCTTCGCAGTACCTGAAGGTCGAATTCCAGAACTATCAGTGTTTGTTCGAAATCCAGCAAAACAGCAAAACGATCAGCATGTACACGAGCAATGAGCTACGAGCGTTTCAGAAACTTTTGACGATCAGCTGCCCCTACCTCCTCTGCAACGCAACTTTTCTTCCGCTCAGCATCAGCTCTGCAGACTTCGCTCTGCTTTCGTTGCAGTTGTCAGACGTCGCACATCTACGGCACCCTTCAGCGTGCGGGTCTGTTTCAATCATGTGTCACACTTCTGACTGCGACACCGTGCTGTTGAAACTGAACTCCGCCCAGGACAAACCCGTCAGCTTCCACCTCAACAAGAGCGAGACGCACGGGGTCATTCCGATGGTCTTCATCGAGCCATTCGGCTTCAACCTCGCGGTGAACTGCTACCAACTGAACCTGTTCGATACCTGCGGCGCGCCGGTACGGCTGTACAGCGTGCAAAACAAGTACGTTATTAAGAATTGGCTCGACACAGCGTTCTACGTACTACTTCCGCAGGTAAACATAGTGCTGCGCGTTCAGCCGAATGTGGTGTTCAATCTGCCGCTAGCCAGCGGCGCACCGTGCAAATTCTACATCTCGCTGGACGGCGTCAACCTCTCTTGCTGCATTCCGTTCAACGAACGTTACGTCGGGAAAAATTACTTGTGGATCTACAACAAGAACCGGCGCGAGACGCTTTGCATCGAGTTGGTGGCGTACGAAAACTTGCTCTTTTGCATTGTCAGCCATGACAGCACCGACTTGCTTTCGCTGCGCAACGACCTGTTCCCAATCATCAAGTTGAAAGTGGTCCGTAACCAGGGAGCGCAGTTGTACCTGAAGCACAGCATTGCGCCGTACGTCATCGAGTCGGAAGAAGAAATGCTATCCGTGCTGTACAACACGGCGCACGCCAAGCAGTCGTCACCAAACGACGCGCGCAGAGCGAGCAATGCGGCGAAGATCGTCGTGATCAACGACATTGTCGAGTCCACTAACAACGAGGACGTCGCGTTTTGTGCGTACGGCGAGTCTATCGAGCTCGCGCTGTACGAGCCGTACACCCACATCGACCGCGACAGTAAGCTGAACGTCGAACTGCTGACGGCTGGCGGCTGCATCTGCCAATCGCCGATCGAAGTAGACTTGACGCGGCCGTGGCAGTTCTACACGGTGTCGCTGCTCGAAGCTGACTCGGAATTTCTCGACGAGTTTCGCAAACTCAACGCGCTCTCGCCGCCGAACTGCTTGTTCATTCAGTTGCATGAACGGCAAAAAGAGATCATGGTTTCTGCGGCACTGCCTAGCGCGCTGCTTTCCTCCAAGTTCTTCACACCGAAACGCCTCGCGGCTTCTTTGAAAAAGGCCGAAAAGAAGCTGTGCTCGGCAGTAGCCTGGATGCCCAAGGCTGTATCCGTGAGCTTTGGTCAATTGTGTCCGCAGTGCATTAGCACGATTTACGATTTCGACTTGGCTTCCTTCAGCGTCAGCTTGGTTAACACCAGCTTTTGCCAAGAGATTGTTTACTGCGAATTTTCGAAAATCAGCGCAGACGTTCAAAGTCTCGGCAACCACTTCAGCGGTTCGCTCTCGTGTTCCGACGTGCAGATCGACAACCAGCTGGACGACACGCTCAACCACTTCGTGGCCTCGCCGGTGATTCTGGCGAATACCGGCAAAAAGCAGTTCGCCTCCGTGGTATTCGACATGCTGCTGACTGCGAAAGACCTCCGCTTCAGCAGTTTAGACATCAGCTTCGACAACTGCGAGCTCGAGGTGAACAGCGAGACGCTGCTGATTTTGCAGAACTTCGTGAACCTGTCTTGGCAAAGTACAATGACTGCGAACTACGCGACACAAGGTGCGATCGGCGTCGCGGAACTGCTCCGCTACAGCAACTACGACGAATACAAGCGCTACTTGACCGATTCGGAGCGCAGCGCGACTCGAGAAGTGAATTCACGCAACCTGGCGCTAGCGGTGGACTACTTATCTATCGCGGACTTCAGGGTGACGACCTGGTGTAGCTTTGTGATAAACCGCTTGCGGTTTCTGGGGGACGCGTTCCTTTTCTTCATCAAGGTGCTGACGCTGGGCGGCCGCTTCGAGCTGGTAAACGCGCCAATTACCTTCAACGCAACCTACTGGCCGCGCGGCATCCGTGGGCCACTGCACACGATCGTGAGCTACATCCGCTCGGCGTACATGTCGCAGCTAATGAACTCGATCGCAGTCGTGCTCGGGTACAGCTCGTTGCTGACGATCCCGCGTGCGCCGGTGGACCTGCTGAAGACGGGCGTCGATGCAGGGCTGCACACAATGAACACCGTGACAAACACCTTCACCTATTTGCTAAGCAATCTGACGTTCGACAAGAGCTACATCGCTGAACGGCAAATGGAGTTCGGCCGCTCGCATAGCACGTTCAACGGCGGGCTGCACGCGGCGGCACGGAACTTCGGCGAGGGCATCCTCAGCATGGGCAACGTAATCACGAAGCCGATCGAAGGCTACCGAAAGTCGGGTGGAACCGGCTTGTTAAAGAACATCATTCCCGGGATCATGGGCACGCTGATCAAGCCGGTAGACAAGCTCGGGCAGGCGATGACGAGCATCGTAAGCGGCGTGCGCAACGAGTACATGGACTCTGACGCTGCATTTAAAAAGACTGTGACCGTGCGCAGGCGCTTCCAACGCATGGTTTGGGGCTCGCAGTGCACGGTGCCAGAGTACACGCCTACGCTGAGTCCGAAGTTGAAGCACTTCGTGTTCAACCTCTCAGACTACATCGCGTTGGACCTCGCGCACACGTTGTGTCTGTACGAAAGCTCGCTAGTTTACCTTTACCACAGCAACGCGTCGCAGATCATTGTAATTTGGCTGATCGCGATCGAGAACGTGCTCTCGATAAAGGCGTTGTCCAACGGCGTGGAGCTCGTGACTAAAGAGTGCACGCATTTGGTAGAGTCGCGAAACCCGGCCGTGATCATTCGCGTGTTCCGCGCAATACGCGCCGCGTGCACGAAGAACGGCACACTGTACGAGATGCGTAACGGGTCGCTGCGACAGTATTTGTTCTGGTGAGCAACGAGATTCTTCGAAAGTGCGCCTCTTTTCCCGCTTACGCGAAGCGACGCGTCCGGCTGGGCAAGACGCGTGCGCAGCCAGTGCCAGCTGAGAGCGCTTGACTTCGCGCTATCGGGGTTTTCCGTGTGGCGCACGCAGTGCGCTCTGTAGAGCGATTTCCGAACTGCGTGGTTCGAGATGCCGCCGACGCTGCGACTGAGTTACTGCCAGAGACAGCAACTACTCAGCTGAAGGTAACAGGAACCCGTACTGCAGCTGCGGCAGCAATTCCGCTTGCGTTTTGACGTAGTGAAGAACGGGTGTGAAAACTTGTTTGTAGATGCGCCAAATCTCCGAGGCAAGCTTCCTTCTGCTGTCGACGTAGAAGCCGGACCCTTTCGTCACCTTCAACGCTTCTGGCAGCGACTCTTGGCGCACAAAGTCGTACGGATCGGCCTCCATGTCTAATTGCAGATCGTCTACGGTTTGCAATGGTACCTCGAAGCGCACCATGGAGAGTGGCGGCGCGAAGCCTGCGGCAATGAGCACTAGAGACACGGCCGCAAAACGTACTTTCTCGGTAAAAGTAAGAGGCAATGCTGAAGTTCAGGTTGTAGAACTGCTCTACGGAGACCCACTCGCTTGCGAAAACCGCCGGGATTGCGCAGCAGCTTAGCAGCGCGACGTTCATCCTCTTTGATTGATCGCGCAGCTATATTAGAATAATTTTGAGCAATTTAATGCGAGCAGCCTGGCGAGCGACGGATGACAAGAGTCCATGTATTCACTTCGATATGTGATTCGCTGTTCGGCTTGGCGCGCAACAAGTGCGTGCAAGGGGCCAGCTCTCGCATTCGTTCGTACAGCGACGAGAACGTAAGTTCGGCGCCTAGCAACGCAGGTGTGTCCGTACTACCTGGTGGCATTCTGCCCGAACGACTTGCTGATTAACACGCGCAACAACTTGGGGCCGTGCAACAAGATCCACGATGAGTTGCTGAAGAAGCAGTACGAGCAGCAAGCCTCTCCGCGCGAAAAGGAACAGGTCTACGAGCCGCTGCTGCTGAATTTCTTGAACTCGCTGATTCGGCAAATAAACGCGCGCGTGGACAGAATCAACAAGCGCATCCAGGCGGACGTGCACGGAACCGTGCTGGACGAGGAGAACTGCGAGCGCATCGAGGCGCTCCGCAAAGAAATCAGCGACTGCATCCAAGCAGCGGAGAAGGCTGGAGAAGACGGCGACATCGATCTCGCGAAAGAACTGAACATGAAAGCGATATCGCTGAACATCGAAGTGGAACGCATGGGCACGCACAGCAGCGGCTTGTTTATGCAGCGCGAGCGCTCGCTGCGAGTCTGCACGATTTGCGGTGCGATGCAGAGCGTGGGCGACAGCATGGCGCGTTTTGAGAGCCACGTTGTGGGCCGCCAGCACATAGCGTTTCAAAAGTTTCGCGACTTCGTGGCAGAAATGAACGCGAAAGCGGAGTCGCGCCCCGTGCGCGGCGCGCACAGACAGGAGCGCTCCGGCTACGACCGGGGTCACGAGCGCGGCTACGAGCGCAGCTCTGATCGCGGCTCTGAGCGCGGCTTTGATCGCGGCTTTGATCGCGGCTACGAGCGCAACTCCGATCGCAGCTACGAGCGCAGCTACGAGCGCAGCTACGAGCGTAGATCGGATCGGAACTACGAGCGCGGCGAACCGACGGACCACCGGCCGCCCGGCAGACAGGGCGGCGGCGATGATGCGCACAGCGGCTACGACAACTACAGCGGCGACGTGGACTTGAACTCAAACTACAACCGGCCAGGCGCCAGCGGGCGGCACGGCCGCCGCGGGGACGGGCCGTACGCGCAGCGGCGCTTCGACGGCGACGCGCTGCGTCGGCCGCCGCGCTCCGGAGGTCCAGACGTCGCAACGGACGCGAGCGACCGCTGCGGGTACGGCGCGAGTCGCAACAGCCGCAACGAGGACCCTTCGGCTCAGCGCTTCGCGCGCAGCGAACGCGAGCCAGCTCTCAGGTCGCCGGCGGCAGAAGCGCCGCGCCGCACGAAACCGTTTGGTGCGCGCCCCGCGCAACACATACAGCAGCTGCAGGCCGCCGGCGCGGGCGTGTACGACGACGAGCCGGAAGAGGGTCAGTGCTTGTGAGCGGTGGCGCTAGCTGCGCGGCCACGTCTGGCAAGCGTCGGTCACTTTGGTCAGAGCCATGCGCAAACTGACGATCAAGCCGAACAGCGCGAGCGCTTCAATGAACACGAGAATCAGAACGTTGGTGACGAAAAGGCGCGGCTGCTTCGCCACCGCCATTGTGCCGCTGCGACCGACCGCGCCGATGGCATAGCCGGCGGCGACGCAGCTGAGCCCGCAAATCAGGCCGCCGTTGAAGTGTGCGTAGGCGGCCGCACGGCTGTAACTCTCCACGGGCATGACTGCGGCGCGCGCGCGGTCACTTACTGTTCTGGCTGACGATGACGCCGTAGACGAGCCCGTAAATGCCGAGCACGCTGGCCATGATCACTGGGATCAGGCCTTTGATCAAGATGTGCCGGTGGCGGAAAGCGTTGAGACTCAGCGAATTGCCCGCACACACCGACGCGTAGGTGCTGCCGACACCTGCGCCCGCGCAACGCGAACTTACAGCTGAGGACCATGCCGAGCGTGACGCCCGCGAAGCCGAGCCCTACGTTCTTCGGGTCGCAGAATTCCGGAGTCGCGCCGTACCGATCAGCCATTTCGAACGCAAATCTATTTTACATTTACAAATCGAATCAATTTATTTTCTGCGGCCTGCGGCAACGAAGTCTCGCGGAGCGCGGCAGTGTAGCGCGACAACGCAACGCGACAGCGCAATGCGACAGCGCAACGTGATAGCGCGCGCGACCTTTCTCAACAAACTGCTTTGCCAGCAGCTGTGCGCAAATTTGCCGAATTTCTGCCCCGACGATCTCGTCCCAGATCGAAGTGAGATGTACAATATCTGTTCGCTAGCGCAACCATTGGGGCGACATTTTTAGCATTTTTTTCCGCTAGCGCAAAAAAAATAAAAGCGTGTTACACACAAAAAACTCCTCAGCGCCCGAAAGCCCCTAGCAGGGTTTGCAGATTTCTGCCGACGTAGCGCGATGCCGAAATTTTGGCACAACCAATTTTTTGCCGCGCAAGCTAACGCGCAGACAGACCCGCGCCAGAGGAGGCCTGCGGCTCGTGGGCTGGCGACCGCATTGCGGCAGCCTCGCAACGCGCGGTGCAGCCTGCGCGCGGCAGCCCACAGCCACGAGCATACTTCTCAGTCGCGCGACGTCGCAGCCGCAGCGAATCAACCCGCTGCGCTTCCACAGACGATCTGGAAGCCGTGCGGGGCGTAGCGCAGAGGAACGAGCGCAACTACTTCGTCACGATGCCGTAGGGCACGCAGGCGTCTTTGATCTTCAAAGAACTCATGACCATCGAGATGATCACGCCGAACAGCGCGATCGCTTCTGCGAAGATCAGGATCAGAATCATCACGACGAAAAGCCGCGGTTGGTGCGCGAAGGAGCGCACGCCGGCGTCGCCGATCACGCCGATCGCGAGCCCCGCCGCCAAGCACGAGAGACCGGTGATGATGCCGCTTGCCAGGTGGTTGTACGACTTCGCTTGCGAGTACTCCTTCAGGTCGCCCATGTTCGACTGCAGCATGAAGCCGACGATCAAGCCGTAGATCGCGAGCACCGAGGCCATGATGCAGGGAATGATCGCCTTGAGCGCGAGGTCTGGCCGCGTGACGCCCATCGAGCAGATGCCCACGGTGGACTTGGCCATGCCGTAGGCGGCGCCGAGGTCTGCGTGCGCGCCGCGCGCACTTACTGCTGAACACGGCGGCCGCGGCGATGCCGAGGAAGCCGAAAAAGGCGGAGTTGGGGTCGCAGTGGTTGACGGTGCTCATCGATCAGACGAATAATTGGAAAATGAATTGCAGAATAAAACA